GCCTCCTCAAACACGACCACGAGCACACATCCATGAATGCCTTCATTTTTATAGCCTCAAATAACAACATAAACAAAAAAACAAACATCAGGACTAATATCTGAATATCAAGATGGAAAACAACTTTGGGGAAAATGTATTTGACATCTAATCAAATTTTGTAGTGTGGCTCAAGTCCAATTGGTTTACACGGAGAAGGCAGGGTTTATGACGTGTAGGCTACTGCATCCAGCCACCAGGGGTTGCTCAAAATGTTTTGGGCTTACTTTTTAGGACATGTGAGGAACACATGCCTGCAAAACCACTAGTTTCAGCAATAGACCTTTATCGCAGTAGAACTAAACACCGGAAGCACCCATCAAAGCAATGTATCGCTATTTCTGGTTTCGCAAAACTTTGCCATAATTTGCAAAGAAAGACGTTGTTTGGTGAATGTGTAAATCTGACGTAGCCTAAATAAAACAGCATTTAAAAATGATACTGATTTGCACAATTTGTGCAGAAAATTTATCTTACACAAAGCGTTTGCAATGTTAGGTTACAGTAAGGTGCGCAGCCAACAGCGTAAGATCTGCTCATTCAAGCCATTCGTAAGCAAGATTAACTAGGCTATTTAACATCCAGCAGGATTAGTTTTATGTCAGTAGTCCCGTTTGTAAACTGTGCTAACCCCCTCCTTTCTTTTTATTCAGAGTCAGATATAGTGAATGGTGAGGTAGTTGTACTGGAGAGTTGCTATCGCTCAATGCAGGAGCCTCATAAATTACAGGTTGTTTAATGCTCGTAAGGTTTTCTCAAGTCTGGAAACATACGTAAGCTCCTACTACTGGAAAAAAAATAATTTTTATTATTTATTTGAAAAACAGCAAATCACATTTTACAATACAAAAATATACATGCCAGGGGGTAATTATAAATAAAATACAAATATACAAAATGTAATAACATATGTAACAATTAAATACATTGTAGGGTTCACACGTTTTTAAAGAGGGTCAGGTTTTCTTGTTTAGAGAGTCTCTGATACTGGTATTTAACAAGCATTACATCAATACCTTCAAATTTGGTTTCTTATTAAGAAATTTACGTTTATGAATGTTCAATTTTGTTAACAACATAAGCAAATTAAATAATTAATAATAATTTTCCTCTTGATTAGGATTATCAAGTAAAGCCCAAATGTACATTTTTCCATAATAATGAAAGAGGTTTTGAACACAAAATAATTGTTATTAATACATTTTTGCACCTAAGCTGACTATGTACAATGCCAAAATAAGTGTAAAACCGTCTCCTCATATTCACTACAAAAATACAATTTACATCAATCCTACTTTTAAATTTTTGCAAATAATGTTTTGCTGGTTAAAACCTGTGGATGAGTTTATAGGATATTTCTTTAATTCCATTTCTAACATGATATTTTTGTGGTAACAGCCACAATTTTCTTCAATTCACCCTTTAATAAAGACATCCAATAAAATTGAACATAAGGTTGATTTATTTTTGGAAAAGAGTATGAATAACTCTATCATTACTCTTGGTATTTACTGTAAAACTAAATTTGCCGACATAAGATTTAGTAATATCAAAAGACGATACATCAGAAGGATGGTCTTATTAATACCTCTAAATAACATGAATGAATAACATGTCTCTGAAGGAATTGAACCAATAACAGTTGAAAACTTGCTGGGTTATTGAGATTTTGTAATAAGAAAGGACTTCATTGTAAGAAAAGTATACTATATTTATTATATAACTGACTAAACAAATTAATTTAGTTGTCAAACTAATTAAAAAAAGGAGAATTGCGTTTGTATAAATTGTCTATTATTCCAAAATAAACAACGGTGTGGGGAGAAATTATGCTTGTAGATTAATGATCATGATGAGCACTTGTTTGTGGAAGGCAGATAGCTTATGTGGAGTTTTGTCTATATTATAATTACTCATCAAAAAAAAAATAAGACCACCAGTATTTGATAAAACATGATCTCCACTTTGAAGTGCATACGAACGTACTCCCGCATATAACTTGAAACGACATTCAACCCTTCTAATAATTTCACCCATGATTTTCTCTGTCCTTCGTCTTTCGGGAAATCGTGGAAATTAAAGTAAGGGTGTCATTTTTTTAGTTGAAGCAGCCAGGAACGCTGCAATAACAGCGATGAGATGACTCTGCCATTCTTTCTTACTCCGTTGCATTGAAACCGGATGTTGTGATACGCTGTTTCGCTTACCGAAACCAGGAAGTGTAAAAAATGCCTATTGCACTGCAAACACAGGAGGGTAGACGAAACATTGTAACATACATTGGAGAGAAGCAGACACAGTTTACATATGGATAAAACACACCTCTTACGCTCTGTTTACTCTAATGCATTTTCGTTTTAAAACGAATAAGTTTTGGTACGGTCACGCCATTAGTCCACACTACGCCGGAGTTTTCAAGTGAAACTCTGGCATAGTGTGGACGGATGGCATAACCGTAGCAAAACTTATGCATTTTAAAATGAAAACACATAAGAGTAAACAGAGCCTCTGACAACTCCAGGAGAGTTACATGTGCTTCCTTCATGTCATAACCATAATCCATGTTTTCTTAGCTTCTCAGGGTATATGTGCATGCTCTGTTAGTGTCAATGGGCCAGATTCTTTCCTGCCATAACCTAAGTCTTCGTTATCATGACAACAATGTGGCCGAAAATGGAAAAGTTTTTCTCTTGCATTTAAAAAAAAGTGCCATGTTTACACATCAATGTTTTTAAAACGATCTGCATTGAGAAGAAATGGTCATTCCAACTGAGACTGGTTTCTCTCAAGGTTTTTTTCCTTCACTTTTGTCAATTGATGAAGTTTGGTTCCTAGCCACTGTTGCCACTGGCTTGCTTGGTTTGGGTCTTGTGGAGTTGCGCATCAATGGATTTGCTCTTCAGACTTCCAGCAGTAAAATTTAAACCACACTGAACTGAACTGAACTGAACTGAACTGAACTGAACGGAACGTCAACTCTAAAAACTGGACTGACAATTTCAATTTACTAGAACTTTTATGTTAAGCTGCTTTGACAGATTTTACAATATAAAAGTGCTAAAGAAATAAAAGTGAATTTAATTTAATTGAAAGTGGTTAAAAATGTAGCATCATGTATGTTAGGCCAGTATTTGGCACTCTCACCTTGTTAGTAAACAGTACTTGTAAGGAAAGAACTTGGCTTGGTGCTGGTGTGTATGTATATTTTGCTGTGTGTGTAAGATACATCCTGGTTGTAATGTGACAAAAATCCACTGTTGTAATGTGAAGTAAATCTGTGATGTCATAATTTTCAAAAAGAGAGGAGAGGACACACGGAGTGTTGAAGCCAATTATGATATGGAGATGGCCATGATGGACAGAGACCAGTGGACAAATTTGGTCAGGAGGTGGGGTTAAACCCCTACTCTTTTTCAAAGGACATCCTGATACCACAGAGAGTCAGGACCTCAGTTTAACGTTTCATCCGATAGACGATGCTCACGGAGCAGTATAGAGTCCCCATCAATATACTGGGGCGTTTGGAATTACACAGACTGAAGGATAGGCGCCCACTGCTGGTCTCTCTAACAACACTTTCGGCAGCAACCTAGCTTTCCCATGTGGTCTCCCATCCAGGTACTGAACGGGCGCAGCCTAGCTTAGCTTCAGTGGTTGACCATGTGAGAGTCACAGAGAGCTAGCTGCCGACATCTCTAGTGTTGTTCTTCTGGACTGGGGTGCGCTACTTGGGCAGCTCCTTTCTTGTGGTCTCCAACTTTGCTGGCTAATCCATGGCCATTTGATCCTTAACAGGAATGGGCACCTGCTCTTTGATTAGTTGTCTCCTCTTTTGCTCAATGGCTTTGTGTCCTCCTCCATGGAATCGTCTACTGCTTCACACTCCAGGTCCACCACTGATCTATGATTCAGGCACACCACTGTTTCACAGTTCATGGGCTTCATTAACCACAGCCATGTGGTTAATGGCCTCATCTAACGCGTCAAAGTGCATGGCCTTATTCACTACTCCATTGTCCAGGCTGACATTGCTTTATGGTCCAAGTCTGCCACTGCTCCAGCAAGTAGGCCAGCTACTGCTTCATGGTTCACGTTCTTGACTTTTGCTCCATTCTGATGCCATTTTGTGCCCCATTTCTGCTTACAGTGTGATTCATCCCTCTCTTTATCCTTTGTTCCAACACACTCCTGGACTTTTTTTGTTTTGTTAAAGTGTTATCTTTTGGATAGGTGGAGTTATGTATTTTCTTTTTTGTGGTTAGCATGATGTACATTAGACTGTGACAACGATTCTACATACATATATATGTATCATTATTATCTTATTCAGGCGACACAGTGGCTCAGTGGTTAGCACTGTCGCCTCACAGCAAGAAAGTCACTGGATGGAGTCCCCGGTGGGTCAGTTGGCATTTCTGTGAGGAGTTTGCATGTTCTCCTCGAGTTAGTGTGGGTTTCTTCTGTGTGCTTTGGATAAGTTGGCGGTTAATTCTGCTGAGGTGGCCCTTGATTAATAAAGGGACTAAGCCGAAGGAAAATTAATGAACGATTATTATTTCATTCATATTGTTTTTTGATCTGCCATAGAAAATGTTGACTGTATAATCAAATTTCTTTAGTCCAGCTTTGAAAACTTTATCTAAGTAGAAGATAAAAAAAAAAACTTAACACCTAGGCAGTGAATGGTTGTTTGTGAATTTAAGACCTAATTTAGAATATATAATAACTGTCACATTGTATTATGTTTTCATATGTTGCCTAAGATGTGAAGTCTGGTCAATAGAGGTCTGTGTTTCAAATTAAATATACGGTGGATTTGTTTGTTTTCTGATATTATATAGATATTCTACAGGTTAATTTAAAGTCACAGTGTGTACAATGCTAAACAAATTAAGTTTGTGTGTGTGTCTGTGAACAAACTGAAGATTAAATCAGTAAATGAATAATGAAAACACAAACACTTTTAATGCCAGTATTTATTCCTATCCATTTTTTATCATTATTTACAAAATATATACAGATTTTAACCCAAGGATACAGTATAAATGACAGCCTTCATAAAAAATGTTCACCGATAACCCATTTGTGAGTTCACCAGTTTAATAATCATAATTAGAACAATCGTATGAGATAGATCAACTAATTCAATGCTGTTTTTGTTTCCTTTTTTATTTTTGCAGATGCCCGAATTGCACAGTGACTAATCGAATATAATCCACAAAGAAGTTCAAAAAGTCTATGCTGGAGATACAGAAGACACCTCCGTCTTGCTGGTGGACACAGTAGAGGATTCATCATCACCGAGAGGATTCTTTCCACAGAATAAAGTGGTCAGCATGCAATTACGAAACTGAAAACAAAAGACAGGGTTTCATTTAATACATCTCTATGAACATTTTGATTTTCTTTTTACCGTTCTTCCAAGTCTAATGTTGGATTTACCTGTTTGTTTAGAAGCACATAAATGATAGGGTTGAATATGGAAGAGCTCTTTGAGAAAAAGGCAGGAACAGCCATGAACTGAGCACTGAAAGCAGCTCCTCTATTGAAGAAGATCCAAGCAGCAACACTGGCATAAGGAGTCCAAGCTACCAGGAAGCCCAGAACCATCAGGATGACCATTCTGGTCACTTCTCTCTCAGCCTTCTGAGTGGATTCAGATTCCTGCTGTTGAGCTGCAGCCTAAACGATTAAAAGAACCAAACTGAAATGAACATACTGCTCTGATGCTTGCAGGAGTTTACAGGAATGCTGAAAGAGACATTTCATACCGCTTTGACTGTGCAAACAAGTCGTCCATAGGTGAAAAAGATTGTGGTGACTGGAAATATAAAGTGGCAGCAGAACATGTAGAGGACATATGATTCATTATTGTAGTCAGGGTTCAAGGTGTAGTAGTCTGGTCCACATGAACACTGCATTCCCTCTGGAATATACCTGATAGGAAATCACCAGAGGTTAATACATTTTTGACTGTCTTCTTCCTATTCTTCATTTAAAAAACATATGTACAATCTATTCAGTTCAATCTAACATATTACTACAGTTATTATAATTAAGGTAATGTGTTTGACTCTGAAGAGTCAAAATGACATCCTTACATTGTAACTTTTTAGTACTGATCAAATAAAAAAGAAATTCCCTCATATATATGACTGAACTATTTTTAGTTTTAATCACTTGTCCATCAAAATATAGAGCAAATGAATTGCTTTATATTGTATTTATCATTACACTGACCTTGACCAGCCAACCAGAGGAGGAGCTGCGCAAGACAAGGCCATTATCCATGTAAATCCAATCCCAGCGAAAGCATGGTTGGATGAAAATTTGAAACTCCCCATTGGCTTGCAAACCACAATGTATCTCTCAATGGCCAGCACCACGAGTGACCAAAGGGAAATTTGCCCTGTGTAGCAAATAAAACAATCAAATCACAAATCAAATAAATCCAAAAGGTAAACTGCAGAACAATTATCCTCACCTCCCAGTGTGGCCATGAATCCCTCAATCGCACAGCCAGTTGGTCCCAGAACAAAGTATCCATTAATGGCTGTGTAGAAAGTGACCGTGAATCCAAAACAAACCATGATGGTGCCAGCCACAGCCAGATTGACCAGAATGAAGTTGAGAGGTTGCCTCAGCTTTTTGTGTTGAGCTGTTACCACCAATGTAAGGCCATTGATGGGAAACCCAAAGCACATGAGGAAGAACATGTAGACGGCGAGCAGTTTAAACTGCCATGGCTCAGCAAGATAATACTGAGGATATTCGTACGGACTCCTCACAAGCCCTGTCCTGTTGGACATGGGGATGTAGAAGTTGTTTCCTTCAGTGCCGTTCATCTCTGCCTGCTAGTGATCCAGAACACGAGGAGGATGCAATCTGTTGCAGTGGACCTGCTCTTTATTGCATAGATGCATCAGCTGTGGTTATATATCCCTGTGGGGATCCTTATAAGGGATAAATCCAGGAGCGCAAGAAAGGGAGGGTGTTACTATGTGGGATTTGAATGATAAGAGCAGACATAATCACTTTTGGACTAATCAGTCAGTGAAGCTTTGGATCTTTTTTGACATCTGAGATTCTTATATATAAAAGACAGTGTCGGTTTTTGAGTGCAGAGTGAGTATACGCAACACTGTGCTTCATTGAAAAATGGGATTGTACGTTTATTTCTGCTGTTGGTTGACTTACTAGGGACAAGAACACACTTAAAGGTGATTTTGTGTCAGATCAGAACTTGCAAATTGTTCTTCTGTCGTTTTATGGTAGTTTGTCCTGGAGTTTTGTAGGTTTCACACTTGATGCTGAACCCTGTTCTGTTTTGTGCCACAAGATTTGCGATAATGAGGTTGATGGAAGATTAATTAGAAGATTAATTAGCTTAATTACAAGTAGTAGCTCCAACAGGATGTACTCGATAGGCTGTTTTCTTCAGTGTGCGAAATGTAACAGCAATAGTGCTTTGGGTTAATTATTTATTAGGAAGTCGTTTTTCTGAAAATGCTGAAATCTGAGAAAAAATACTAATCAAATGCACTGTATTTTCAGTTAAAGTTGAATAAACACTATTAAAGCGGTAAATAATTGTTTAATGAATTGATTAAATAAGATGTCAAGGGTTTACAAACAAATGTTCATTTAATTCATTCAACTGCTATTTTAATTCTGGATGTAGATGACGGTAGTTTATCAAAACTTAGTATTGATCATGATAGCCATTATTTAGCTCATGTTTGTCATTCTTTAACGGTATATTAGACATAATATGTATTGCAAGCACCGTGATTCTATTCAATGAAATGTTAATGTTTGGTTTTATCCATTACGAATGCAATTACTTTTTGTATTTAAAAGATATGACAAAACTGACTCCTAATTCATTACTGTAGCCATAATTTAGCATGTGAGTTTATTTCAATAACTTTATATATACAACAAATCAATTGCATGCACCACTTTCAGATGAAGTGTATACATTTTATTCAAGAAAGTGTAGCTTTTCTATTGTTTTATTTTACTTAATGGTTATTTTTTTTCTGTAGTTGTGTTTCTTTCTTTCATTCTGTTATTTGGTTTATTTTAATAGCTTATATAAAACACTATTGAACTATAGATTCATTTCAGGAATCACATTTACTGCAAATAAATGTACACAAGTCAGATTCAAAAATTAAAATGTAGCTTTTGTGCTTGATTACTAATAATTAAATTTATTTTTAAAAATTATAATGTAATAATTAAATAATTGTAGCAATTAAAAACTCATAGTTTTTCCACAGCAATATAATATTGCATATACATCCCATTTAAACAAGTTTAACAGTTTATAAAGCAATATACTAATTACAACTACCTGATTCATATGAATGAAATGTCTAAAGATTTGATTCTAGTAGGTTTATTATATAATTGTTATGTTTTATTTCCGAATGTATGCAAGTTTAGTTTCCCAGTGATGGGTTTCAGCTGAAAGGGTATCCGCTGTATAAAACATGTGCTGGATAAGTTGGCGGTTCATTCCGCTGTGACGATTAATAAAGGGACTAAGCCGATAAAAGAAAATGAATGCGAGATTAATATTAATAAAGCTCATAATTCATTATGTATCATTTAGCATATTGTGTTTAGCTTCCTAAGTATTTAAAATCATAAATTAATTGCAAGCACCACATTCGTTTGAAGTAAACGTCATGCCTAAAGGTCTGATTTCTAGTGTTCGTTTATTTCATGTAATTATTGTATTATTTCTTTGCTATTGTTCCTTATTATGCATGCACATCATTATTTAGTACTGGGTGTTTTATTTAGCATATGAATTACATTCAATGCAACAAAGAATAAATCACATACCCCGCATTAAATTGAACTAAACTACAATTACCCACACACAAATCACCAAAGAAAAAAGACATTTGAATGCATGTATTTATTATTCTACTTTTCAACAAATATACCATATAGAAAATATGTACAGAAATGCTGACAAATCAGCTGAAAACAAAAATAAAGGAGTAACAATCCATAATGTCGATGTGAAAAGGTAACTCAGTGTATGATGACGTATCTCGCTGAACCCTTGGGTGAGTTAAAGCAGTTCTGGTCACGACCTACTGATGTGATGATGACAAGAAAAGAGGCTTATGCTCAGATTTAGTGGTGAGCTATACCTTAAGATGAAGCATCGGTGGAGAGACGTGAGATAAACTAGTGCTGATCACAACTAATCTACCCACGCTCTATTTATCGAAGAGAATGTGTCTGGAAAGCCAGCTAATGTCTTCTTTGAACTCGATGGATCCAAGGCAGAGAGATAAGGGGGAGAGAGGGGAGTATAGGGCCCTATTTGTGATTTTTCAAAATATACAGAGATTGAGGAGTGGATATTTAGGCTTATTGAAGACAGTGGACTCCAAAGCATTAAAAGAATCATTGAGAAAGCATAGTTGGCAATTAGTTCTACGCTGGAGACACAGAGGACACCTCTGTTTTGCTTGTTGAAACTGAGGAGGACTCATCATCACCGAGAGGACTCTTGCCACAGAAAAGGGTGTTGAGCATGCAGCTACGGAACTGGGGAAGAGAACATTGAAATGAATGTCATACCTTTATGTGCAATGCACAAATGATCTAGGAATTGAAATGCCATCTAATTACAGTGCATGTGCAATTTAACAAACTGATCTTAGAGTAAATGCTTGGTTTGCACTCGATGTGGTGTTCTAAGTCAAAAAATATAATAAAATCATGTACACTAAAGAGAAATAATCAAACCAAAATGGAGAAAATATGAAGAAATCCAACTGCTAGGTTAAAATTTTCAATTAAATTTACACTTTTCAAAAATGACCATGATGTTAATAATTAAATGCATGTAAAAATGCAAGAGTTAACATCTTCGTCTTGGTTAACGGTAAGTTTCCTTAATTTAAATTTGGTGAATAACTGTAAAATTGACTTTATCAGTATTTACAACACATTTGATGCGTTTTTAAATTGGCACATTAAATGTTAATACCAGTACTTCAAAGCAATGGTGTATTTTTCATAGAATTAATTAAGTGCAGTAGTTTACTGTAAAACTGAGATGTTTTTAATGACAAAATTGTAACAAACTCTTGTAAGTTTGCATTAACCCAACAGCTGAACTGTGTTTATCAATTTTTTTAGATAAATTTAGGTTTCTTAAGTGTGTATATTCTAAAGATGTATTAAAAAGTGGCTCACCTGTTTGTTTAGGAGCACATAGATAATGGGGTTAAACAAGGCAGAGGCTTTTGAGAAAAAAGCTGGGATAGCCATGGCTTGTGCGGAGAAAGCAGCTCCCCTGTTAAAAAAGATCCAGGCCGCAAAGCTGGCATAGGGAACCCAAGCCACCAAGAAGCCCAAAACCATTAGGATGACCATGCGTGTTACTTCCCTCTCAGCCTTTTGAGTGGACTCAGATTCCTGCTGTTGAGCTGCAGCCTGAAAGAAAAAAAAATTATTACTTTACGGCATTTAAATATGCTGAATGTTATTGTAATATTATATTCACTTACAGCTTTGACTGTGCAAACGAGGCTTCCATAAGTGAAGAAGATGGTTGTAACAGGAACGCAGAAATGACAGCTGAACATGTACAAAACATATGATTCATTGTTGTATTCTGGGTTCAGGGTGTAATAATCTGGTCCGCAGGATGTCTGCATTCCCTCTGGGATGTATCTGTGTCAAAACAATAAAATAAGATTGTCACACATCTTTTCAGACCCTATCTCTTGCATTATCAATAGTATATGTAGACTGTAAATTAGAAGTTAGGGTTAGTTGAATAAATACTTGCAGAGTTACAATTAGTCAATAGAATGTCTGTTGAGAGACTATTCAAATAAAGTGTTACCACGGCTAGGTAACATGTGCATACTCATATCCAGTAAAAGACATTTAAAGTGTTATCATGTAGAACAACAACTTTAGTCTGAATAAACTTCTCATATAATGCTTTTTCGTCATTACCAAGGTGATTATTTTAAGTTTAAACTGTCATCATTTACTGCCTATACACTTGTTACAAAACTGAGATTCTTCAGTATGTTTGAGACCAAAAGGCTTTAAATTCCAGTTATTTTGTTCTACTATAGATATCAATGACTTCCAAAATGTCTTTTAAAGAAAAGGGAAACTCATCAAGATTTGGATATAGTGAGTAAACAGTTAATTAATCTCCTTATGGGATGTTCATGCAGTATAAACAGCCGATATGCAACACAGTAAGCAACTAGTTAAAAGTGACAATTGATCCCCATCCTGAAGCGCAACCATTGGTTAAACTTAGTGATTATTTGAGCCTTAATCTCTTTTGGCGCTGATTAAAAGTCTCTAATTAGCGTGGATGACTTACCGGGACCAGCCAAAAAGTGGGGGGACTGCACAGCTAGAGGCCATGACCCATGTGAAGGCAATGCCGGCCATCGCATGGTTTGAGGAGAATTTGAAGCTTCCCATTGGCTTGCAAACCACTATGTATCTCTCAATGGCAAGAACCACAAGAGACCAAAGAGCAACCTGACCTGTGGACAAATAAAACGATCACAATATGGAATATGAAACAATAAAATAAACGAATTCCTGCTGAAATATTCTTACCTCCGAGTGTAGCAAAGAAGCCTTCAATGGCACAACCTGTAGGACCTAGAGCCATATAACCATTAATGGAGCAATAGAACGTAACCGTGAATCCAAAAAAGGCCATAATTGTTCCAGCGAAAGCCAAGTTCACCAAAATATAATTTAAAGGCTGTCTCAGCTTTTTGTGCTGAGCTGTGACCAACAGCGTGAGCACGTTGATCGGCAGCCCGAAGCAAATCAGAAAAAACATGTAAAAAGCCAGTGCCTTAAACTGCCATGGATCTGCCAGGTAATACTGTGTGTATTCGTAAGGACTCCTCACTAGCCCAGTCCTGTTGGACATAGGAATGTAAAAGTTGTTTCCTTCGGTGCCGTTCATCCTGCTGGAGGTGTTGCACGTATGCCAAGAAGACACCAGCAAAACTGTACTCCACAAAACTGCCAGCTGCCCGCTTTTATATCTTCAGCGGAGTCCCTTGTCAAAAGGGGTGTCACCATTAAGAAGATTTGGCGGACACCGAGCTTCATAACCTACTGGATTGAATCTACTTGGCTCCTTACCAACTCTCATATGATATCCATCCCCTCTGTAGGGGATTAAGTTTCAAATCTTTGACCTTGTAATCTTTGTTCTAAGTCGGAGGCTGAGAGATTATCCAGTGGAATGGGTTGCATACAGTCCTCCCATCTTCACATTGCCCCGTTCACACACTTAAACATTTCAAGTTTGAACACCGCAGCTTAAAACAAGCTAGAAGAACTAAATCAGAACGGATAATCAAACGTTTGAGGTTAGGGATGTGATTTTGGCTTCTGCAGTGGTGTGAAGAAGACAAGGGTCTCTATTTCTGAAATGATTGATTAGGATTTGTTAATGGAGGAGGAGAAACAAAATGTTTATATATTGCTATACATTTGAATAAAATGTAGATATAAAACTTTATCAAGTAAGTGAATCATGTGTCTGAATGAAAATGGAATTAACATAATTATAATATGAAGCAAATTAAACATAACTTTTTGTGTGTAAACTGTAAAACAATTGCCTTAAATTCACAGTGAATTACTGGCTAATACTTGCATAACTTTCACAGTAAAATAATGGATGTAAATTAACAGCAAATTACCATGAGGTAGTTCACAGTAATTTACTGTGATTTTGTTCCATAAAATTACTGTGAAATTACAGCCACATAGTGTCACTTTACAGTAGATCGTAAAGTCCATTACTGTGATTTCACTTTATAATCTTGTAGAATTAACTATTTTTCTGAAAAGCAGGCTTTCCTCGGCTATTCATTCTGACATTTACCCTGACTTTTGGGTGTTTAACAGTGTTTGGTTTTATGAATCAATTACTTTTGTTCCAGTTTATGTTTTTGGCTAAGCACAAAGTTACAATCATTAAAAATTATTTAGGGCGACATGGTGGCACAACCGCCTAACAGCAAGAAGGTCGCTGGTTCGATCCTCGGCTGGGTCAGTTGGCATTTCTGTGTGGAGTTTGCAAGTTCTCCCCGTGTTCATGTGGGTTTCCTTTGGGCGCTCCAGTTTTCCCCACAAGTCCAGAGACATGCGGTACAGGTAAATTGGGTAAGCTAAATTGGCCGTAGTGTATGTGTGGGATTGAGTGTTTATGGGTGTTTCCCAGTTATGGGTTGCAACTGGAAGGGCAATCGCTGCGTAAACATATGTTGGATAAGTTTGCAGTTCATTCCGCTGTGGCGACTCCAGATTAAAAAAGGGACTAAGCCAAAAAAATAAATGAAAAATTATTTCACATTTTCATGTTAACCTCATAAAACTAAATCAAGGTGCAAATCACCCATAAATGAAAATTTACTATTACATTCATGCTGTTTCAAAACAGGATGTTATTTTTAAAGATGCAACCAAATTGTTTTTGGAGCTGCAATAACATTCTGTTATTTCTAAACATCAAAAAGTGCCAATACTGGCATAAACGTTATATTGTATTAATTTCTATGTTGAATGAAATAAAAAGAGTCTATAACTAACATGCAAAAGGTATAGCCCTTTTTACAGTAATTTGCTGTAATCATGCAACCTGCCTATTTTCACAACAAATTTCTGAATACACCACATTATTGCGAATTTTTACAGTTAAATCCTGTAAAGTAATAATAATGTAATTTATTGTGAAAAATTACAGTAACATGTTGTGAAATTCTGGACTTTTTTTACACTATATACAGGGAATTATAGGGAGTGTATAGCATAAATATATAAAAATTAAATAATAATATTAACGAATATAATAATCTTATATTACTAAATGTGAAAAATTATCACATTAAGGTTAAAAAGGGCTTTGCTTCTTTTAAAAAAAAAGTGTTTAGATGTAGATTGCCGTTTGCAGTTTTCTTCTAAAATTAGTATTCGTCTCATGCTATGTTTATGTTCAGTTATTTCACTTTAAAGGCAACGAAAATAACCTTTTTGACATTTTGCCATTGAGCATGCAGACATGGAGCAAGAGCAAAAAACAATTATTTTAGGAGTTTAGGTGTTTGCATCTGAACTCTTTATATCTTTACAATTATATTACATATATTATATTTATAAACTACTTAAATGTGTGTGTGACATATGTTGGAGATTTATTTTTTAATCTTCTGAACCGTTTATCAATCTTATCTTAATGTTTACTCAAATAATGACTGTTAAAATAAATTGAAAGTATAGTATCTGTATTATTATTTAACAGACCTAAGAAAACATGCAGTATTTGTGCATTCATTAACAAAAAATGCTAAATGCTGTAGCTTTCTTGCTCATTGTTAGCGTATACTAGCTAATGCATTTTCTTACGTTCACTAATGTTTCATAATGTGTTATCATGACTTCGTTAGAAACGAAGAACTTTAACTAACTTAAATATGTTTTCAAATCTTAAAACCAAAATAAAACAACACATATCTGGAATGCATGCTTTTATTTAAATATACTACCTACACTTTTTATAAAATATTTACAGAATCTGACCTGATCAAGTCAGACAGCTTTTGCAGACAATACAATGACCAAAAAAATAAAATAAAGACCTCCATCAAAACATACAAGTGAAGTGAAATTATTGGTGCGGGAGTAGATATTGTGCATAGATCCAGATGAATTCAAGCGTACTTTATTGAATACATTTCCATTGCCTCCACCTAACAGTGAAGAAAACGATTCCATAAATCCAATAAACATAACATTTTCCTTTAACCTCAGACCCATCGGCTATTCTTGAATTCCTGATAAAATGCTTTTAGGTGGACATGTATGGTCTTGAAAGAAACAGCAGTTGCAAATGGCCAAAGATGTACTGCATGTCCGTGAGTTTGTCTCATTTGAATGACGGAGCACTGAATAGGCAGATCTATGCAGGAGACACAGAGGACACCTCTGTTTTGCTTGTTGACACTGAGGAAGACTCATCGTCACCAAGAGGACTCTTGCCACAGAAAAGGGTGTTAAGCATGCAGCTACGGAACTGGGGATTAAGATAACATGTATAGAATCAATTCCACATATTTAAGATGCAAAAGTAAAAGTCAGCATTTTAGCAATATCTACAGTATTCAATTTTAAAAACTGAATCACTAAGATATGTGTTAAAATGTGAACATGGCTCACCTGTTTGTTTAGGAGCACATAGATGATGGGGTTAAAAACAGCTGAAGTCTTGGAGAAGAAGGCTGGAACAGCCATGGCTTGTGCGGAGAAAGCAGCTCCCCTGTTAAAGAAGATCCAGGCAGCAAAGCTGGCATAGGGAACCCAAGCAAACAAGAAGCCCAAAACCATCAGGATGACCATGCGTGTCACTTCCCTCTCAGCCTTCTGAGTGGACTCAGATTCCTGCTGTTGAGCTGCAGCCTAATAATTTTGAAAGACAAGAAAGAATTAGGAATGAAATGTGGCCAATGTGGCTCTATTTGACCATCACTGATATATTCAAAATGTATACATACAGCCTTGACTGTGCAGACCAGACTGCCATAGGTAAAGAAAATTGTGGTGACGGGTATGCAAAAGTGGCAGCTGAACATGTACATGACGTAAGACTCATTGTTATATTCAGGATTCAGTGTGTAGTAATCTGGTCCGCAAGAGGTTTGCATCCCTTCCGGAAGATATCTGGAAGATTAGAAATATATGAGATGAGGCCTGAAGTGAACTAAATCTACCTAAATCTGCTTAATTACCTGGACCAGCCAAAAAGTGGGGGGACTGCACAGCTACAGGCCATGAACCATGTGAAAGCAATGCCAGCCATCGCATGGTTTGCGGAGAATTTGAAGCTTCCCATTGGCTTGCAAACCACGATGTACCTCTCAATGGCAAGAACCACCAAAGACCAAAGAGCAACCTGACCTGAAGAAAGGAATTACATGTTAGTACCCCAGCATGTACTGCATTCAAATCTATGCACTGCTAGTTACTCCTTACCTCCAAGTGTTGCGAAGAATCCCTCCATTACACAGCCTAATGGACCAAGAGCCATGTAGCCCACAAGTGAGCAGTAGAAAGAAACCGTAAATCCAAAGATGACCATAATTGTGCCAGCAAAAGCTAAGTTGACCAAAATGTAGTTGAGCGGCTGTCGGAGTTTCTTGTGCTGGGCTGTAACCACCAAAGTCAGGACATTGATGGGAAATCCAAAAATGATCAGTAGAAACATGTAGAAAGCCAGAGCCTTGAATTTCCATGGTTCTGCCAGATAGTACTGGGTGTAATCATAAGGGCTTCGCACAAGCCCAGTCCTGTTTGACATGGGGATGTAGAAGTTGCTCCCTTCTGTCCCGTTCATTTTTACTGAAACCTAAATTAAAACCGCCTATGTGGAAATATGAATGAGCAGTTCAACTCCTCTAAGAGATGGTCAACCCCAAAGTGGACAGCGTCAGGTATGCTTATATACTCTTCTAAGGAAGCCAAAACTGGAAAAGGGGGTGTCACCAATAAGATTATTTGGCCCAGATCAGAGTTCATAACCACCACAGATTGTACCTTGGGATTTGACCCTACCTGTCAACATGATATCCATTTCTTCCAACACGGATTAGTTTTTAGCTTTGGACTCTTCTTAAGCTGCATCTTAAGCCACTGAGATCAGCTCAAAGTCCAGTAATGCTCAGATTTCTTCAACTCAGACGTGCTTCGTCCACTTCATCATACACTTGACAAATTGTAGAATAAAGGTTAGACTGTTTTATAATGATGTCTTAAATCTTTAAAAAAAAAATAGTTTGTTTATGTATTGTAATATTCTTCATGATTACAAAACTTCACATCTAATAAACTGCAAGTGCAGTAGGAAAGTCAGTTTGGGAAAGACTTCCATGGCTTCATTATCTGACATGTGAATGAATTCATCATTGAATCATTTGTTTGCCAACATGTTGTTATCCAGTTGGTAAA